ATAATAGAGAAAAAACAGAAAGATTGATGTACGATTGCATTTTGTCAAGGACCCTTCGGGTCGGGGTTTTAGGTTCTGGTCGCAGGTGAGCCAAGGGGCTGGCAGACTCACCTTCATGAAGTGGTCGGCCAGACGGACGTCGAAGTCCTGGCCGCCCAGGTGGCAGTCCCCGTCAGAGGCCAGCACCGTGAACTCGGCGCCCTTGATGGTCATGACGGACACGTCGAACGTGCCGCCGCCCAGGTCGAAGATGAACACGGTCCTGCGCGCGTCCGACACCTTGTCGAGCCCGTAGGCGATGGCGGCGGCCGTGGGCTCGTTGATGATGGACATGACCTCGAGCCCGGCGATCTTACCCGCGTCCACCGTGGCTTGCCGCTGCCGCTCGTTGAAGTAGGCGGGCACCGTGATGACGGCCTTGGACACGGCCGCGCCCAGGAAGTTCTCGGCCGACTCCTTGAGCGACCTCAGCACCATGGCGGAGATCTCCTCGGGCGCGAACATCTCCTTCCTGGACGAGACCCTGGTCCTGACCTTGGGCACGCCGCGGTCCTCCAGGACCTCGAAGGGCCAGTGCTTCCGGTCCGCCTGCACGTCCAGGTCCTTCCAGGACCGGCCGATCAGCCGCTTGGCGTCTGGAACGAGTAAGACCCGACAGAAGGTCAACACCGCGGTGTTGTACAAGGGAGAGGATTCGATATCGAGTCGACATCATGCAGGTCGTTGACCTACCAAAGCTGAATTTATAATCGAGAAAAACTGTATATTTTTGTTATACATACAAAATCATTTTTTTTAAATATGTATTTTTCGCTGATATGGAGTAGAGACATTGTGTTTATCGAACAAGTTTTTGCTGCACTTGACACTCGCTCGCGTTTTATCAGCGCTAGGCTCAGCAGTTCCCCCGCCCTCACACCACATACGTGCTCTCCCCAGAGGTATTCCCCTACGGCCGGGCACCGCGCCGCGCTTGCGCAGTTGTCTCGGCGTACAGCACAGGTATTCCCCTCCGCCACTCGAAACTCGGCCGAGCACCGAGCTCGCCGCTGCTGCTTCGAGCGCACTCCACTCGGACCAAATCTAAACGAACGGGTATTCCCTTCTGCGATGTACACTCACCAAAGACGCGGTTGGCGGCGGGCAGGTCCTTGGCGGCCTCGCCCACAAAGCTATCCCCGTCGAGGAAGCCGACGACGCTCGGCGTGGTGCGCGAGCCGCAGTCGTTGGCGATCACGTCCACCTTGCGCTTCTTGCACACGGCCACCACCGAGTAGGTGGTGCCGAGGTCGATGCCGATGGGCGGGCCCTGCGCCTGGCGGGGCACACAAACACGTCAAGGTCGGGGAGCAACGAGAGGGCCACGGTAGAGAGGGCACTTCACTCAAAGAAATCTGTGTACCCCCCCCCCCCACACACACACACACAATTCACCACAAAATCAGACTAATATTAGAAAAAAATCACGGAAACACCAGGGGATATTTTTTCTAAATGATGAAGAAACAAGAAAAAATTCCAGAGAACACAGAAAAATTGGCGCACGCTTGTTTTTTTGTTTTTTTGATAAAGGACCCCTCGGCCACGGCGCCGTCCCCTACCTTGCGCTTGGCGCCCTCGGGCGTCTGCGTGGTCCTGGGCGGCGGCGCGCCTCGCGCCGGGCTGGCCCTGGAGCTGCTGCTAGGGGTCGCCTCCTCCTTGAGCACCACCTCGCGGCCCGCGGCGCCCTCCCCCGTCAGCTTGGCGGCGTGCAGGGCGGCGCCGTGCGCCACCACCTCGTCCGGGTTGACGGTCAGCCGGGGCTCCAGCTTGAAGGCCTCCTTCACCATGGCGCGCAGCCTGGGCGTGCGGGCCGAGCCCCCCGTCAGCACCACCTCGTCCACGTTGGGCACCTGCGGGATCAGCGACAGGAGTCAGTTGGAGGCGAGCGCGTCCGCGTGTCCGGCCGGCGGGAAGCAGCAAAGCACACACGTACCCCAGCGGCGCGCAGGGCGTCCCTCGCCACGGCCACGATCTTGGCGAACAGGTCGGCGCACAGACTCTCGAAGCAGGCCCTGGAGACGGTGGACTTGAACTGCATGTTGAGGCGCGAGAAGTAGTTGGACACGGTCACCTCGGCCATGGCAGAGAGCTTGCGCTTGGTGGTCTCGCTGAGCGCGCGCAGCTCCAGCGCCGAGGCGGCGTCCAGGCGCGTCACGCCGCGGTGGCCGCGCAGCAGCTCCTGGAGCACAACAAGAGGGCAGTGCAGAAGGTCGCCCTCAATTTATGAAGCAAATTATTTACAGGACGAAGTTCCGATTTCATTTATTGAAAGCTAAGCAGCACCTTCTCAAGGTGTTCCGCCAGGCGCCGGTCGAACAGACTGCCGCCCCAGGGCTCGTGCCTGCAGACGGCCTGCCCGCCCCGCGGCCGCACCCAGGCGTGCAGCGAGCGGCCCCCGACGTGCAGCACGAGCACGGCCTTGGTCGCGTCCAGGGCGTAGGCCGCCAGCGCCGCCTCGGGCTCCTCCAGCAGCTGCAGCACGCGCAGGCCCGCGCGCGCCCCCGCCGACCGGGTGGCCTCGCGCTGCGCCGCCGTGAAGTAGGGCGGCACGGTGAGCACCGCGCAGGGCACGGACTGCGCCAGGAACATCTCGGCCGTCTCCTTGAGCGACTCCAGGAGTTTGGCCGACACCTGCGGCAAGAGCAGACAACAGACAGCGGCTTCAGTGGTGAACAAGGTTGGGAGAGGGGCAAGGGAGGCTTGGG